GCCCTAAATTTTTTATAATTGCAAGCGATGGGCCGCCATGAAATACCGTCTGACTCTACTGAGCACACCAATGGTGTACATTGGTGTGCTATTATTATAATATATTGTCAACTATTAGAACATTAATTAACTTTTTTATTATCAATATATTGTCCTCACAGTTATTATTTTTTCACAATACATTTATGAAATATATTAATGTATACACGGAAGAATTAGAGAGTTTAACGGCAGAGGAAAAACTTAAAGACTGTACAAAGAAACTTACGCAATATAAATAAGCTTATTTTACCTAAATGCCGTCTGCACAAAATCAGTAATTCATTCTACGGTAATTGCATAAGATTTTATAATAAACTGCCAGAATCTGCATTAAATCTGACAGATATTGTCAATTCAAATCTTATATTAAACAATTTTTTGTAATTAAAGCCTATTACATCATATAGACGCAATTTCATAGATGACAACATATCAAGTAAATAATTAGTTTATTAGCATACAACGTTATAATTTTATTTTCTCATTGTTTCTTATATAATTGATTGATTTGGATATGAATTTTATGAAAGCGTATTTTATTTTGTATTTATTGCCGCATGCATTCTTATGTAAAATGTGAATACATATAAATCAGATGCCAATTGTGAGCTGCTTTGAATATTGAAATGTTTTGATTAGTCATGCATACTGAATATAAATGTCCAAAATAACTTTTGGCAATTTTTGGTCTGTCTATCGGTCTGTTTGTGCTAATCTCTGAAATTGGTCGAGCGCAGTGATGGCTGGCTCATCCGTCATACTGATGAACGGGTGCTACTTTTGACTTTGTAGGGACTGGTCTTTTAATCAATATGATTAAAATTTCCTCTTATTAATTGTTTAACCAGTTGGTTATGTATTCAATATTTTTTTTTTTTGAGTATTTAATTGAATTAGTGCTAATTGGTGGTTTTATCACACACTTAAACTTAAAAATGTATAAATAATAAAATTATTTAAAAAAGAGCAACACGCAAGTTACTTGCTCGTTCTTCTTGTGAAAAACAGCTTTCCGAACGAGCGGTGAGCTTATTGAAAAAAAAAAAAAAACGGCGTTTTAATGTATTCAAAAATGCTTCAATCAAATGAATATAAAAAAAATGATTTTCTATTTATTCATTCTAAATATAAGTAAGATATTATCATAATATATTGTCAACTATCTGAAAATTAATTATTTTTTTATAAGTAACATATTATTATAATATATTAATAAAGGTGTTACATATGAATGTGGATGGTTATAAGGGCAGAGGAAGGCCGAAAAAGAGATGGATGGACTGTGTGAAAGATGATATCCGTTAAAAACTATTAAATAACGCGATGACTGCGAACAGGGATGAATGGAAGCGAAAAACATATTACGACGACCACAAATAAATGGGATAAGTAAGAAGCAGATGATATTATTATAATATATTGTCAACTATCTGAAAATTAATTAACTTTCTTATATTTTTTATTTCATTACAGAATTCTAATCCACTACCATCATATAAGTATGCAATTTGCTCAACAAACAACAGAAGTGAGGGCTGAGGAGAAATACATTATCAATAATCATTCTTTGTAAGTTGTTTCGTACCTATATACATAAGAACCAGAGATGTTATGGATATGAATTTTCGGAAATTTATTTTATTTATTTATTTATTAAAGGAAACCCAAGGCTATTCAAGTATATCTATACATATAAATCAAATTGGAGTGTCTGTTTGTAATATTGAAATAACCGTTTCTTACTACATGCATATGAATATAAATACGGTACATACACCAAAATAACATTTTTTACAATTTTTGTCTGTCTGTCTATCGGTCTGTTTGTCCCGGCTAATCTCTGAAATTGCTGGACCGATTTTGAAGGGACTTTTTTTGGCAGGTAGCTGATGTAATAGGGAGTAACTTAGGCTACTTTTAGACTTACTGTAGAAGAATTCTTTTAAATTAGAAATATAAATTAAAATTCCACGCGAAGTCGCGGGAAAAGTTAGTCTTAAATAAAATCAATATAGACGTCATACTAAGCCATTGACAAACTGTCACTAATAACAACAGACTAATTAAAAAAAAATACATCACTACATATAATGGCAACAACACATTATAAAGTTAACAGAGAATATGAAATTAATTAACAAGAATACAGTAACAAATAGTGAATTTATAGAAATATATACATATACATGATCTCCAATAATATAGGAATGATTATTATACCAGATACGGATATGAAATTATTTCGGATGATTTCGGTTACGGATAATAATTTTTTAAGGAATTTCAAAAGTAAAATACAAATGGTTACATAACATGTCTCAATTAGGCTCCGTCCCTATCCGATATTATCCGACACATTTATTTCGGATTCGTTTACGGTTACGGATATTTTTCATATCGGATATCCGATTTCGGTTTAGTTACGCAGCTCCTTAACATCACTGGTAAGAACAATCATTGTTCTTAGATGTATATATAGATACTAATTTAATATACTCTGTGGTATGTAATAAATTAATAAAAAGAATAGTTACCAGAGATTCTCGGTGTTTTTTTTTTACCTCTAAAGTACAAAGACACAAACCTTCAAACCCAAAAGATCAACCACATCACATCGTCTCTCGAATAAACTTTGGCTTAGTGCTTCCATCAAAGATTTACCTTCGATCGCCGCGGGTTCGATTCCTGGCACGGTACAGACATTTGTATTCATAAGTATGATTGATCGTATCGCTCTGGGTGTTTTCTATGTATATAATATATGCATTAAAAAATTGTATCTAAGTTAAATCAGTTGTACCCATAACACAAGCTCTGCTTCGTTTGAAACTAGATGGCGCTGTGAAAATTGTCTTTGGTTATTGTCTTAAAATACATAACACAAACCTAAGTGGTCGACAGTGCGGTTTCAGAGGAGCTTCCTCCCGTATACACTTAGATTGTGGAATGAACTTCCTGTCGAGATTTTCTCACGAGGGTTTTCTTCATGGGGTTTTTCAAGAATGGAATTAAGGTTTCTTTAGGGTTGGCAATGCGCACGTGACACCTCTGATGTTTCAGGCGTCTATAAGCTACTGTAACCATTTACCATCAGATGGGCCGTATGCTTGTCTGCCACCATAGAAGTATAAAAAATCATTGATGATCCTACCGATGTCTCTTGGATAAATGAAAAATATAAATTGACAGAAAACTTTGTTCGTCCAGATTCGAATTCCCTACCACATGGCTTGTAATAAAGAATTCAATTAATTTAGTAGCAGTTTAATAAAAAGCATTATTGTATATTTTTAAGACAGACTAGCTATTACAGGCGGTTACGCTTACTCGTTTTAAGATAAAAGATATTATAAATTCGTCCTTATCTCGTCTAATGACTACACTCCTTCTGATAAGCAGACATGAAACAGAGAAGACATGCATCAAAATGTAGTAAAAACATTTAAATTACAAAACAATTTCAATGAAGCATAGTATTAAATAAACAAAACAACAAATATTAATATCAGAAAGCTTATGACCTTAATATATTAATTTTTATATTTTGTCCTGATTTAGATGGACTTCCACGTGGTGCCCCCTGGTAGCTATTGTGTTGAATTCATCACGAAGAGCTAACTGACTCAACTTCCTACTCATCCTGACATCTTCTGTTGGTGCCCCGTCAGCGTATACCCTTAGGGCAGACGTGTACTCCATACCATTACCATAGATTAAAAAAAAATACAGTTTGTATCAAAGGTCATTGGGCAAAATCTGACTAATTAACAAAAGTTTGCCAACAAAAATAAAATTAAGTGAATTTAACCATCTATCAATTTTACGTAGTTATTTTTTTTTTAAACCAAGGGAATAAAAATTAAATGTTAAATAATAAATCAGTATTTAGTGAGTATTTTTATATATAAAACTAGCTACTCGCCGCGGCTTCGCACGGGTATACATGTATTATATAGAGCAATTCTAGAGAAAGGTTCAAAATCCGTTGCGTAGTTTTAAAGATTTAAGCATACACAGCGACAGAGACTTTATTTTACACTATGTAATATTAATGATGATAATGAATGAAATCTCGACATTTATTATATCGAATGATACGTAAAAACTTAATTTTTTAATATGAAACTAATAAAAATGACTGAAAACTTTATATTGTGAACATTAATATATTGTTTTTCTTTTTCATATTTTGGTCTGAATCCCATTGTCTGCATTAATACGATATATATATAAACTAGAGATGTTAATCTAAACTTCCTACATTTTTCTGTATACCATGGGTATAGATTTCATATTAAGGTGCTCAATGACTTTTAGTAAAAATTTACTTTACCGATTTTATAAAATTCATTATCAATGTAGTAACAAGGCTGACTTTGTTCCATGCAGGTAACTCGACATATAACTATATAGTCTGCTCTTTGGTCTCGGAGACTTTAAAACTGTGTTGCCAGCTTTTTGTAATTTTTAAATTCAAATACATATTCAAAATATCTTTATTCATGTAGGTCTATTACAGACTCTTATGATATGTCAGATCTACTGTCGGTTCGGAATGATTTCGAGATGAGAAGAACTGACAAGAACAGTATAGGAAATTAATATGAATTACCTATTTTTATACATTATTCAGAAATAATGCGTGAGTGTTTATTTAAAACGCATTTACACACAATAAATAAAGTATAGGTGTCAATGAATATAAGGTTGCTGTATCAACATAGATTTTTAATTGATATATAGTACCCTAAAACAAAGACTAACAACCTTTTGAATAAAACATACACTTATTTAAAATATATATATATATAATGTTGGTTTGTAGCTTAAAAAAATGTTGGTTGGAAAGACAGAAATGTATTTTTATGTTATATACTATTTGTACTGGCAAATTACAAAAATTTGACATTTTTATGTCAATTTGTGTAAAAAACAGACTATAAATAATACTGCCCTGCTACAGCTGGTAACATTATTTGAAAATTTGACATTTAGACCTGTCAATTTAGTCTCCGAAATTAAAAAACAGACTATAAATATTAGCAACCTCGCTACAGCTGGCAACATTGTTTTAAAATTTGACATTTACACCTGTCAATTTAGTCTCCGAAATTAAAAAACGGACTACAAATATTATTAGCGAGTAACACAGGCTGTACTTTTTTCTATACGGTTGACACCGCAAGATAGAACTAGTATAAAACAAATAACATTATATTACAGCAGTATTTATTCATCAACTTTATCTTCTTGCTGCGCACTAACATCCTTAACATTACCATCATCTTCCTCTGCTTTAATTTTCTTAGTCTCACCTTCATCCACACTGCTCAGCTTTCTCTTTTCAAGACTCGCACTTGGAGATTCTCTTCCAGCTTCCGCACTTCCCTCTCCAGACTCCACCTCCACTGTTTCCTTTCCACTCTCTGTTTCATTCTTCTTATGGTAATTGTTCTTTAGAGCCTGATTATCTGAAGCGGTATCCACTTTGAGGAGTTCACGTAGAGCCATCGTAGCGTAACAACTAGATGGTAGTGAGAAACTGAGAAGAAGGGCCTTGTATTCACCATCTGCAAGTTTAAAAACAAATAGGAGTTAATATTAAACTAAGATACTAAAATATACGATATTGAACCGGTAGTACATTCCAAGTGTTTTTACTCAATTAAAGAGTTTTTGGAATATTAAAATAATAAATTGTTCCTCATGACATTTAGATTTATATACATATTGACATATACCTACATACAATAATTAATAATTATATAAACAACCGATAATATAATTAACTAAAAATTTGTACGCTTGATATAAGCAGATTTTGTAAGGGCCATGTTCTTGTATAACATCATATATGTATGTACCCAAAATCTATTGCAAATAAATTTATTATTATAAGAATCTTGTAAGAGTGTAGTTAAAATTACTAACCCCAAATTTAATAAACCAGGATTTGAAGTTGTTATCCTGGACTATTCAGTTTAAAAACAGGACGCAGTAATAAACTATGCATGTTGAAAACTAGAGTAGCGCAGTGGTTATCCTCATCACTGTAGCGTTATATATGTTGTGGTGAGGTGTCGCTACATAATATATTATTTATATATGTATGTCGGTAGTGAGTATACCGATGAATAATTTGTACTATTTATTGTACATTATTAAGTTTATTGGTAGTGTGCTACATAGCTTATTAATAACGCGTACAGTCGACGTGGAGTCGGGACGTAGACTGATTTTACACTTAACTTAAATCTATATTAGTGGAAACGTAAACTAATGGGAAGGTTCTCAAGTGTCGACAGAAATATTACAAGTGTAAACACATCACTTCCCCTCGTTTGAGAAAATTAAAATATTACATAAAAAAAAACAGACTAACATATCAATTTTATATAAAACAATACAGTTGAAAATTTTGATTACAAGTGTGACGACTCGGTGGTCTAGCGGTCTAGCACACCGCTTTACGTCCTATGGTCGCGGGTTCGATTCCTCGCACGGCACAAACATTTATTATTCACGAGTATGATTGTTTGTATCGGTCTGGGTGTTTTCTATGTATAATATGTATTTACGAAAAAAAAAAAATCTATGTATTTGTATCAGTTATCTAGTACCCATAACACAAGCTTTAGCTAGCTTAACTTGGGTCTAGATGGCGCTGTGTGAATTGTCCTGAGATTATTATTATTATATGTCTAATATAAGAAATTATTACTAACAGAAGTTTAATTGGGATACAATAAATAACATATTATGTAGCGCCACCTCATTACAACATATATAACGCTACAATGATGAGGATAATCACCGCGCTACACTAGGTATTGTGCGCGAAGGGCTATGTGAATTGCGATATTTTTTCCAGAACAATTAACACAGCGCCATCTACACAATACGTAGAAAACATCCAGACCGATATGAAAAACCATACTCATGAACACAAATGTTTACACCGTGTGAGGAATGGAATCCGTGACGTGAAATAGAAATATGAGATATAGAAAGTGAAGCGGTGTACTGCCGAGGCCGTCACTAGATGGCAGTGTGCATAGTTCTGAGAAATAATTATTCTCTACACCACATATGGTTGTCTGATAGAAAAAGCATGGTGTTAAGTCCGCCAAATGTATTGTGCTATATTTTGTAATAGCCTATATATATATATTATACTAGCCGTCCCGGCAAACGTTGTTTTGCCTTAAAATAAAAATAAAAATTTAGGGGTGGACTACCCCTAACATATAGGGGATGCAAAATAGATGTTGGCCGATTCTCAGACCTACTCAATACGCTCACAAAATTTCATGAGAATCGGTCAAGCCGTTTCGGAGGAGTATGGGAACGAAAACTGTGACACGAGAATTTTATATATAAGAAGATTTCGCCTAATTTAGTCAATAAGTTATTCTGATGTATATGCTATATTACTGTAAAATTTCATCAAGATCCGTTCAGTAGTTTTTGCGTGAAAGAGTAACAATCATCCATCCATACTCACAAACTTTTATAATATTAGTGATATTGTGTATATTGAAGACTTCTTCCGGGCTTATCCCATTTTCATTTGTGGTCGGCTCTCCTAATCTATCTTCTCCAGTGGTGACTATTTTGGACTGTTGCTGGCTCTAGTGTGCTAACGAGTGCTGCTTGTAGGGACTGGTCTGCTCTTATCACTAGACTGATTTAATCTTATTGTGTTTTTGATATTTGAGCATAATTAAATTTGTGCTGGTTGGTAGTTTGTATTCACACGTTTCGACTCGTAAAATGTGAATTTACAAGGATTGTTTAAAAGAGCAACACACAAGTTTCTTGCTTATTCTTCTTGTGATGAGAAAGCTTTCCGAATAAGCGGTAGATTTAAAAAAATGTTGGCTATTCAAATGTGCTTACATTAAGTTTATTTGAATAAATGATTTTCTATTCTATTCTGCGTCCGTTGTTTTAAGGTCCTTACTAACTACTGACATCCATGTTAATCGGGGTCATCCACTCTTTTTCGGTCCTGAATTGAGGTCGAGAACTTTTCTCGTCAAGTGGTCTTCCGGTCTTCTCATGTCATGGCCATACCATCTAAGTCGTGCTTCCACTAGCTTATCCAGTCTTATTCTGAATGGTCTGGTTCATCCCATCTAGTCTTATTCTGAATGGTCTGGTCTTATTCTGAATGTAATTGTGTATATTGAAGTTAAATAAAAATACAAATGTGTTACTGTACCCGGTGTGTCGGCGGTGTCGGTCCGTCCCTGCAGGAGGTCCCGGTCGGACAGCAGCAGGTCGCCCGTGGGGTCTGAATACCGCACGGTCTTCCATTCAAACCCGGCGACTTTCGCTAGTATGCGGCGGTACGCGCCCGACACGCTGAACACCCTGTATAGATAGATATATTGTTTTAAGAATATAATCTGTAGATCATCATTACATAGTATAAAACAAAATCGCTGTCTGTCGGTCCCTATGTTTGCTTAAATCTTTAAAACTACGCAACGGATTTTGAAGCGGTTTTTTTAATAGATAGAGTGATTCAAGGTTTCAAATTCAAATTCAAAATATCTTTATTCAATTAGATCTATTACAGACTCTTATGATATGTCAAATCTACCGTCAATTCGGAATGAGTTCGAGACGTGAAGATCTGACAAGAAACTCAGCTCGTATTTTTTTTTAAATAAATTTTGTACATATTTACAATAATACAGATTCATTTAAATTCAAATTTGGGAGAATAGAGTAACCACCAGCATATGCCATAGCAAAAAAAATCTAATCAGTGTTCGCAACCTGAACAGACCAGTCCCCACAAGCAGCACCCGTTCACGAGAATGACGGATGAGCCAGCCATCACTGCACATAACCATATTATTTATATTTATAATACATGTACAACCGTGCGAAGCCGGGGCGAGTAGCTGATATATGTCGGCAACAGTACGTTAGGACACTTGATACGGCACGACGAATTTATGAAAGTTATTATTTTTAAAGATTATTAAGTTATTATTATAGTTATTATATATAAAATACTTGGAGAGTATGTTATAAATCTGAGAAAAAAGATTTAAATGTCAAATAAAACAGTTCCTTTGATGAAAAAAGTTATTATTTATAAAATAGAAGGAAAGAGGGGGAGAGAAGAATTCAGTTAACGATAAATAGATGTTTTTATAGAAAAACTTTAAATCCATAGCACTGACAATATTATCTGATTACATTAATAATGAGTGCTACATCAAGCAAATTAAAGAGACTTGGACGTGTCGTATCATGTTGATTATCGCAGTGACCTCTTACTTGTTATACTGTAATTATTTATATAAAAAAAAACATCTAGGGAGAAAAGAGCAACACACAAGCAAATTCTTGCTCATTCTTCTTGTGATGAATCTGCATTGGAAGATCGTAGAAGTGACAATATGACTATTCAAAAGTGCTTGTAATGAGTTTATTTGAATAAAGATTATTTCTATTTCTATTTCTATTTCTATTGAGGGAAAGATAGAAAGAAAGAGAGGGAGAGAAAGACCAAGGCACAGCTACATCAAGCAAATTAAAGAGACTTGGAGTCGTGTCGTATCAAGGCTTAAAGAGTATGATGGAAGATCGTAGAAAGTGGCAAGAGCTCCACCGTCAAGAGCGTAGCTCTTGCCACTTACTACTGTGATGAATTTATGAAAGTTATTATTTAGGGAAAGATAGAAGGAAAGAGGGGGAGAGAAAGACCAAGGCACAGCTACATCAAGCAAATTAAAGACAGACTTGGAGTCGTGTCGTATCAAGGCTTAAAGAGTATGATGGAAGATCGTAGAAAGTGGCAAGAGCTCCACCGTCAAGAGCGTAGCTCTTGCCACTTACTACTGTGATGAATTTATGAAAGTTATTATTTAGGGAAAGATAGAAAGAAAGAGAGGGAGAGGAAGACCAAGGCACAGCTACATCAAGCAAATTAAAGAGACTTGGAGTCGTGTCGTATCAAGGCTTAAAGAGTATGATGGAAGATCGTAGAAAGTGACAAGAGCTCCACCGACAAGAGCGTAGCTCTTGCCACTTACTACTGTGATGAATTTATGAAAGTTATTATTTAGGGAAAGATAGAAAGAAAGAGAGGGAGAGAAAGACCAAGGCACAGCTACATCAAGCAAATTAAAGACAGAATTGGAGTCGTGCCGTATCAAGGCTTAAAGAGTATGATAGAATCCAAATTTCTTTAATAGTATTCAACCAAACTTCTATTGAGATATGATATATAAACTCCATGAGATTATATGAATATTTATTATATGTAGTTTAAATTTATATTTTATTTATATGTAATCCATAAACTTATATATTTTATATTGGTATAAGTATTTTTATATATTTGTATCTGCTGTATCTATTTGTTATAATTTTTCTTTTTCTTTTTTTTTCTTTCAATTAATTATTAAAGTCTTATTATCTCTGATCAACGCGACGGTTGACTGGTAGAGAATATGCAAAAGAATAAATAAATAAATGAACTATACGCTCTAAATTATGAATGATCTCTCTCATTAAATTGTCTTTCTGCTATCCTTTCCTTTCTACTAAATTGTCTCTTTCTTAATTGCACATTTTTTAGTTACTGTGTATTATTACTAATTTACTTTTTTAATTTTATATTTTACTAGCTTTTTAGATGGAATTTATCAAAATCCTTTCTTAGAGGATGCCTACGTCATAGTAGTTTTATGCATGCAAAGTCTCAGCCCGATCGGTTTAAAATTGACAAAGTTTCATATAAATTTTCATCCCCTATTTTATCCCCTTGGGGGTAGAATTAATCAAAATTCTTTCTTAGCGGATGCCTACGTCATAACATCAACAAAATTTGGCATGCAGGTAGCATGCCAAATTTCAGCCCGATCCGTCCAGTCCAGGTTTAGACTGTGCGTTGATAGATCACTAAGTCAGTCACGTTTGAGTTATATATATTTAGATTTTATATTTATATTATGTATGATGTATGTATATGAATTTTTATTAATATGATCTAAAAACGAATAAAAAAATTGTTAATTAATCTTCCTTTATGACTTAGGGGTATGAAAAACTAACCGTTTCAGAGGATGGTAACTAACATTGTGACGCGACAATTTTATATATAAGATTATGTTAGTATATACGAAACTAATAACTTATAATGTTTACATCCGGACCACACAGGAGCGTGCTACTAGTGTTAGTACAAATTTCTTACTTGATTTTTGCTTTCATTTCCGTTGTTAAACCATCCTTCTTCAACAATTCAACGTAGTACTCCTTCATATTGGGCGGGTACTCGATATTAGACCCTGGTAGCGGCATAATAACGTCGAAAATCGTGTACTTTCCGCTTTTGATATCTTCTTCTGTGAGAACTTTTACAGCAATTTTAGGATTCTCCGTATCTTTGTTGTCTGTGAGTTTTTCTTCGCTGGTGGTACTTTCTGCTGCGTCTTCAGGTTTGACGTCTTCATCGCCGTCCTCTGGCTGTGACTCTATACCGAGATCTTCCTCTGCGTCTAACACTTCACCAAGATCATCTGGAAATTGTATATCAAGTCTAATCAAATTTTACCCGCATATGAACGTCAAGTTTTTTCTATTAATATTTTTTTTATAGCACAGGGGACAAACGAGCTTTCGCCTCATCTGATGGTAAGTGATTACCGCCGCCCATGAGCACCCGCAACAGAATAGAATAGAATAGAAAATCATATAACCTTAATTTATTTATTCAAATAAACTTAATTTAAGCACTTTTGAATAGTCATAACTTGTGTGTTTTTTTAAATAATCCTTGTAAGTTTACGTTCTGCTGTTAATTTATTTGGGTCAAATATAAATATACAATAAGATTAAATCAGTCGTAGCGATAAGACCAGTCCGTACAAGCAGCACTCGTTCACGAGTATGACGGATGAGCCAGCCATCACTGCACTCGACCATATTGTAGGGAGCCCAATGACCTGGCCCACCACGCCGCCACATGTCTGGACATTTCAGTGAGCATGACTACTCATTCCACTCGACCACGTCACAGCTACTTAACATCAGGGTAATTGCATTTTTTTCTCCTACCATCCATTGTAGTATACAAATTATATTGAAGACATTTTTTTTATTAGTTTTTATCAATTCGGTTACCGGAGAGTTTGTCGGTTATATAAACTGACCGTTTAAGTTTTTGGTTTTTCATATCGTATGTAATCCATGTAAGTTTGTCAGTAATATAAGCTGACTGACATTTTTTTTAATATTTCAGAATCAAACTAACGAACTTTGTAATCCATATCGGGTTACTTAACCACTGGTCCACGGCTGTACGTCAGGTATTTATGTTATCGATATATTTGTCAGTAACATAAACTCGTAATGTCTTTGATATTTCAGAATCGAACTTACGATCTCTGCCATCTATGTCGGGATATTCAACCACTGGTCAACAACGGTACGTCAGGTATTTATGGATATAAAAATAATAATATCTCAGAACATTCATCTAGTCCCAAGCTAAGCAGAGCTTGTGTTATGGGTACTAGACAACTGATATAAATACATGGATACATTTTTTTTTTGTAAATAAATACATATTATTCATAGATACAAACAATCATACTCATGAATACAAAAATGTTTGGAGAGGAAACGAACCCACGACCACCGGATAGTAAAGCGGTGAGCTAAACCACTAGACCACCGAGGCTGTATATGTACATACCGTGAGTGGTGTCGACCGGCACGAGGTCGCCCTCAGCCGGCTGAAGACCGAACAGCCGCAGCCGCTCCGACACGGCCAGGTTCCATACCAGGGACTGGTACGAGTGTACATACAGCAGACGCGTGTTACGGGACAACTGTAACACAAAATGACATAATATTTATTTGTTTGCATTACTACTATTAATCTAAATATATATAACTCAAAGGTGACTGACATAGTGATCTATCAACGCACAGCCCAAACCACTGGACGGATCGGGCTGAAATTTGGCATGCAGGTAGATGTTATGACGTAGGTATCCGCTAAGAAAAGATTTTGATTAATTCTACCCCCAAAGGAATAAAATAGGGATGAAATTTTATATGAAACTTTGTCAATTTTAAACCAATCGGGCTGAGACTTTGCATGCATAAAGCTACTATGACGTAGGCATCCCCTAAGAATGGATTTTGATAAATTACGATTGTTGTTAAATCTATTTTCATAACAATATTACAAATTTTGTTGTTGTTGTTGTTGTTTTGTTTACCAATTGGAATGTTATGTAAAACATACATTGTTTGTTATCAGAGAAAGTATTTTTATATTTGTAATAGAGCTATGCGCGGGCAAAAAAGCTAGTTATCAAAAGTAACGTTGTTATCAATAAATGTTATATGTTTTATAATAATAAGAATTTAAACATTTTTACGATTGTTGTTAAATACATTTTTATAACAATATTACAAATTTTGTTGTTGTTTTGTTTACCAATTGGAATGTTATGTAGAACATACATTGTTTGTTATCAGATAAAGTATTTTTATATTTTTAATAGAAGCTATGCATAGATTGGACGGCCTCGATCTCAAAATCCTTTCTTAGGGGATGCCTCCTAAGAAAGGATTTTGATAAATTCCACCCCTAAGGGGATAAATTAACGCGAGCGAAGCCGCTAGCAAAAGCTGGATAAGACTATATAATAATAAGTAAACTAAATTTGTTAATTAAAATTATGTATGTACAACATACCGAGTGGAGTCCACTGAGCAGGTCCCTCGGGTATTTAGCCAGGGCTCGTATCAGCGAGGCTTCAATATGTCCAGCTCCTCGCGGCAAGTACCGGACCGCACCTGCAGCCCCAATATCCCTGTAGGCCCTCAGAGCATGCTCCAGCGGACCGCCACGAGGCTCCAGGATGCAGTTGACGGCATCCTGCAAGTTCCCCAGGATGAGCTTCAGCCCGATGGTGTAGGTGGGAGTCTGCGCCCGGGAACCGAACCGCTGCAGCCCGTAGTAGTTGATGAATCCGCGCTCTTTCAGTAACGTAGCGGCTAGCTCTAGTTGTTCATCTTCGGTCGTCACGTTCCGAAGCGCTATGCGGAATCTGTCGACGATGTATTTAATGTACATTTTACATTTATTTTTTATTAGCTGTGCCCGCGACTTCGTCCGCGTGTTATAGTGACCTTGACCAAATATTTAATAATCTAACCCAAAAAAAGAACAGAAAAAAGATTCCTCGTTACAGTTTCAAAAATTACTATTTCCTATACAAACTTTCATCCCCTATTTTTTACCCCCTTAAGGGTAACAATTTTACAAACTTAGTCATATTTATTTATATTTAATGAACAGCCTAAAAAATAAGTTTCAAGATTCCAGTTTTAAAAATGACGATACTTCCATAGAACCCTTCATCTCCCCTTTCAACCCCTTACAACCCTTTCATCGCATTAAAAAGTAGTCTATGTCATTTCTCAGGGTCTATCTATGTATCAAATTTCATTTAAATCGGTTGTGTAGTTTTGGCGTGAAAGCGAGACAAACAGACAGACAGACAGTTACTTTCTCATTCATAATATTAGTAAGGATACCACGTAGATGACAAACGAGCATACGGCCCATCTGATGATAAACGTTTAGTGTAGCATATGGACGCCTGAAACACCAGAGATGTCACGTGCTTGTTGCCGACCCTTAAGAAACCATAATATACCCTTCTTGAAAAACCCCATGCTGTAATCTCATGAGAAAACCTCGGTACACATACGTTAAAACGATTTAATGTATAATTTATCTGTCTTTTTGACGACCTCGGTGGTATGTCTGGATGTTTTCTATGTATATGTATTTACGTAACGTATTTTTTTTTTTAAATTAAAAAAAAAACATTTATTCATGTAAGACATTTTAGAAGCTTATGAACGTCAAATTTTTTAAATTATAAATAATAATTTTACCTATGGTCCAGTTCAGTGTATAGATCCAATTGAGAAGAACTGGCAAGAAACTCAATTTTTTAATTATTAATAGTTTCTTAAGGACTGTATATATTTTATATTATAATTTTAGTTTTAAGAGAAACTACGGTCGCTGATTGTAAAAGATACATATATTTCAAAGTGACAATATAAAATGGAACAAAACATAAAATATTTAAAATGTATGTATGAAAAAAAATATAATAAAAGTCTAAAAAGGTGCGTCGTGCACACAATTATATACTTTTTTTTAAAAGTCAGTTTATTTACAATGTACATTTTATATAGGCGTCTATGTCTAACATTAAATGAAAATCCCTTGCATGAACAACTATTGCAATGCACGCTCGTCATTCAAATAATCGTTTAGTGAGTAATAGGCCTAAAAATATGACTTAATTTAATTTAAAATTAATTCTATCTACAAAAAAAAACAATAGAAAGACTAACCTGTTCCCCTGTAGCTTGCCAAGCTGCAGCGGCGTGGACGCGAAGCTGTAGTTCCCTACCATGACGTCGGGCAATGCTTGGCACGCGGTGGCAATTCGACGAGGGTCCACCTTCCGAAGACTAAACCACTGGGAGGTCTTTGCACGACGGTCTTTTGTACCTGCGTACCCCATAATCGTTCCTTTGGCACTGAAAAAAAAATTAAACTGATGATTAATATTTACTAGTAACCGACCGAAATTTCGGGTTCCGTTTCGGTTTTGGCTGAAAAAACAGTTTCGGTCGGACATTCATATTGGGCGTCGGTGGTCTAGCGGTTTAGGACACCGTCTTACAATGGTCGCGGTTTGATTCCTCACACAGTACAAACATTAGTATGCTTGTATCTGTTTGGGTATTTTCTATGTATATATTTAAAATATATATGTATTTAAATATATATACTTATAAACAGTTGTGTAGTACCTAGTTTTTTTTTTCTGGATGATAATGGAATGGTGCACCCGTCTGCGGTAACGATTTATGCTGGCGGGGCACCAGTGGAGGATGATAAGCTCAGGTCAGTTAGCCAACCGTGGCAGATTCAACAAGAATTTATCACAATGGTTTCCAGGGGGAACCGCCAGGACGCCAACCTGATATGGCACATTGCTAGCAATGAGATCATCAGTCCACATTACTAACCCCCCTAACTAATACTAACCCTTTCCCCCTTGTAATACCTAGTTACCTACCCATAAGACAAGATCTCTTAGTTTGGGACTGGGTGGCGCTATGAGAATTATCCAGGATTATTCATATTATTGTATCCCTTTTTACGAATATTGCGCAGACGCAGGAGTATGAAACTTCTAACTGAAGAAATATTCCATGAGACTATATATACATATTTATTATAATTTAATTTCATATATATTTTTAAGCTTTAATTTTTGTTTATTTATGTAATTATACGTTATTTATACGGGTATATTAGTATGTTTATATATTTGTATGTTCTTATATAAATAAGTAGATTTTTTTATAAATACATAGAAAATACCCAGACTGACACAAATAATCATACTCATGAATACAAATGTTTGCACCGTGCGAGGAATTGAACCCTCGACCATCGGAAGTAAAGCGGTGTGCTCAACTGCTAGACTACTGAGGTTGTCAGTAGACGGCGCTGTGTGAATAGTCCTGTAGCAGCTAGCATACTTTCTACACGTGTGTTTAGTCCTTGTAAGTGTTTCCCAGAACTTCCCAGAACTCTTATCGCACGGCACGTGTAATTCATTAGCAACGCAGTTGTGCGATCTTCAAGCTATCGCGCTAGACCATCGAGGATGTCATTATTATGCCATAATCTTATTATTAAACAGATAAATAGAAATAATCTTTATTCAAATAAACTCATTACAAGCACTTTTGAATAGTCATATTTTGATTCTACCACTCATTCGGAATGCAGATTCATCACAAGAAGAATGAGCAAGAAACTTGTGTGTTGCTGTTTTTAATAGATGTTTTTTTATCAACATAGAAATCGCTACGCACTCATTATTAGTGTAATCAGATAATATTGTCAGTGCTATGGATTTTAAGTTTTTCTATAAAAACATTATTATCTTATATTATATAATAACCCATCATATATTCCAAGTCCTAACATCAAATGAACCTGCCAAGTTCGTCATTATAACTTCAAAGGCAAGTCCCGTTGCACCATCCGTGCAGGTAAGTACACGTAACGGTTACGTAAAGTCTCGTTACACTAGTGACGAGTGTTGCCATCCTGCTAGTTTTACCACAAACTGACAGATTTGGCCCGCTTTAGTAGCCGGAGAATTATATTTTATTTATTACTGTAATGAATAAAAGAGTATGATTATTACAAATTTAAAATGTTATATAAGACTAGCTGTCCCGGCAAACGTTGTTTTGCCATATAAATTAATAACGCTATAAAAAAATAGAGGTTGATGATAGAAGGGTGAAAATTTAGGATTGTATGTATTTTAGGTTGTATCATAAAAAATAGACTCTAAAAATTTTGTCTAAAAAATAAAATAAAGTATTTTGGGGTGGACTACACCTAACATTTTGGGGGATGAAAAATTTATGTTGGCCGATTCTCAGACCTACTCAATACGCTCACAAAATTTCATGAGAATCGGTCAAGCCGTTTCGGAGGAGTTTACTTTAAATCCATAGCACTGACAATATTATCTGATTACATTAATAATGAGTGCGTAGCGACTTCTATGTTGATTATCGCATGCCTCTTACTTGTTATACTGTAATTATTTATATAAAAAAAAAGTATCTATTAAAAACAGCAACACACAAGTTTCTTGCTCATTCTTCTTGTGATGAATCTGCATTCCGAATGAGTGGTAGAATCAAAATATGACTATTCAAAAGTGCTTGTAATGAGTTTATTTGAATAAAGATTATTTCTATTTCTATTTCTATTTCTATGGGAACGAAAACTGTAACACGAGAATTTTATATATAACATGAATAATACATACTTGATCCGCAGTCGTTCCGCGATGCGCCTGGCCGCGTCCATTGTGTCGCAGTTTTCTTTGTGTACTATGAAGTACACGTACTCTGCAGGCCATATCCACTTCACTCTGTTATCGATACGTACTGTAATATAAACACAAAACAAATTGAACATACAAATTATATAAAAGTGTCTGTTCGTTTAGATCTTTGAAACTACCGTAGGTAGGTATATAGGTACTAAAGTATTTTAATTGATTTTAGCAATAGTGATTCAAGAAGAAAGTTTCAATCTTATTAATATAAATGTATACAAATTATATAAAAGGTAGTCGCTTCCGGTGTCTGTCCGTTTAGATCTTTGAAACTACCGTAGGTAGGTATATAGGTACCAAAGTATTTTAATTGATTTTAGCAATAGTGATTCAAAAAGAAGGTTTCAATCTTATTAATATAAATGTATACAAATTATATAAAAGGTAGTCGCTTCCGGTGTCTGTCCGTTTAGATCTTTGAAACTACCGTAGGTAGGTATATAGGTACTAAAGTATTTTAATTGATTTTAGCAATAGTGATTCAAGAAGAAAGTTTCAATCTTATTAATATAAATGTATACAAATTATATAAAAGGTAGTCGCTTCCGGTGTCTGTCCGTTTAGATCTTTGAAACTACCGTAGGTAGGTATATAGGTACCAAAGTATTTTAATTGATTTTAGCAATAGTGATTCAAAAAGAAGGTTTCAATCTTATTAATATAAATGTATACAAATTATATAAAAGGTAGTCGCTTCCGGTGTCTGTCCGTTTAGATCTTTGAAACTACCGTAGGTAGGTATATAGGTACCAAAGTATTTTAATTGATTTTAGCAATAGTGATTCAAAAAGAAGGTTTCAATCTTATTAATATAAATGTATACAAATTATATAAAAGGTAGTCGCTTCCGGTGTCTGTCCGTTTAGATCTTTGAAACTACCGTAGGTAGGTATATAGGTACCAAAGTATTTTAATTGATTTTAGCAATAGTGATTCAAAAAGAAGGTTTCAATCTTATTAATATAAATGTATACAAATTTTATAAAAGGTAGTCGCTTCCGGTGTCTGTTCGTTTAGATCTTTGAAACTACCGTAGGTAGGTATATAGGTACCAAAGTATTTTAATTGATTTTAGCAATAGTGATTCAAAAAGAAGGTTTCAATCTTATTAATATAAATGTATACAAATTATATAAAAGGTAGTCGCTTCCGGTGTCTGTCCGTTTAGATCTTTGAAACTACCGTAGGTAGGTATATAGGTACTAAAGTATTTTAATTGATTTTAGCAATAGTGATTCAAGAAGAAAGTTTCAATCTTATTAATATAAATGTTAGGGGTGTACAACCCGTATCACTTAGGTGTATGAAAAATAGATAGTAGCCGATTCCTAGATCTACTGAATATGCATACAAAATTGCATAAAAATCGGTCTAGCTGTTTTATATCTTATTAATATTATAAACGCAAAAGTTTGTGAATATGGATGGATGTTTGTTACTCTTTCACCCAAAAACTACTGAACGGATTTTGATGAAACTCTACAGATATAGCTTATACATCACAGTTATTCTGATATATATATATAAGCTATAAATTTCACGCAGGTAAAACCGTGTGCACAGCTAGTATATAATACAGGTACACCCGTGCGAAGCCAGGGTGGTATATAGTGAAATTAATATTTTGTAAAAAAAAAATTGTAGGAATTTAATTTTTCTGTTTTGCTTTCTAACAGTTTAGCACACTTTTAATGATCGCGGGTTCGATTCCAGATCCCCGCTCCGTAAGTCGTTCCTTTGGTTTTGAATGCCTTCTACACTCGCCCCCTATAGTCCGTTGAATCTGCAGACCAACATCGGCCAACAGCATTAGAATAGTTAGAAAAAAAAACGTTGCATCCACAGTTGTTATTTTGTATCTATTTGGGTATTTTATATGTATAAATTTTATATGTTTATATGTATATATATTTATTTATGGATGACAATGGATTGATACACCCACCTGAATTAACGGTTTACGCTGGCGGGGCACCAATAGAGGATGATAAAATTGCAATTCCGTTTCCGCCGGCCCTGCTAGTACCCAAAACACAAGCTCTGCTTAACTTGGGCATGTGCACAAGCTCGCACGCTCAGCCATTTTGTAAAACAAGAAACATACTCCATACTAGCTGTACCCGCGACTTCGTCCGCGTGGAATTTAACAAAAAAGTTAATTCGGGAATTTTTCTAACATAAAAGTAGCCTAAGTAAACTCCTTATGGGGGAGGCCGTCCAGCAGTGGACGTCTTCCGGGCTGCGATGATAAAGTTACTCCTTATTACATCAGCTATCTGCTAATAAAAATCCCGTCAAAATCGGTCCAGTCATTTCAGAGATTAGCCGGAACAAACAGACAGACAAAAATTAAAAAATGTTATTTTGGTGTACGTACCGTACTTTTATTCATATGGATGTAGTAAAACACGGTTATTTCAATATTACAAACAGACACTACAATTTTATTTATATGTATAGATGTATAGATTGTTACCTCCTTTCCTGTACTTCTCAAAGCGGACAATTTTCTTATCTTTTACACTAACAGTGCTGCCAACGATGCTCTGTCCGAACGCTTTCTTCACTGCATCGTGTATCTTTGTTCTATTTTCCTTTGTCATTCCCGTTACATCTACCTGAAATTATAAAAGGTAATATATCTTTGAATACTAAGTATTATTATATTTTTTATTCAAATTTAAATTTAAAATCATTTATGGTATGACATTTTAGCCGCTTATAAACGTCAAATTTTTACATTATAATTTTAATATTTTCCCTACCGTCCAGTTTGGTATATAGATCCAATTGCGAAGAACTGGCAAGAAACTCAATTGATTTACTTTTTTTTAAAAGCCAGTTTATTTGCAATGTATATTTATATAGGTGTCTATGTCTAACATTAAATGAAAATGAAAATCCAGTGCATGAACAACTATTGCCATGCACACTCGTCATTCAATTTATATTCTTTACTAGCTGTGCCCGCGACTTCGTCCGCGTGGAATTTACTTTATTTTTCTAAAATAAAAGTAGTCTAAGTTATTCCTTATTACATTATTTACCTGGCAAAAAAAGTCCCGTCAAAATCGGTGCAGCCATTTCAAAGATCGGTTAATCTTTGAAATGGCTGAACAAACAGACAGACAGAAATTGTTAAAAATGTTATGTTGGTGCATGTACCGTACTTATATTCTTTTTACTTACTATTATTGTATTTTACTTTTTATATTCTTTAAAAAAATTATATCCGTAATCGAAATTATCCGAAAGTAACGGATGATCTGAAATAATTTCATATCCCTATCCGTATCCGGTAAAATAATCATTCCTATATCCGAAGCCTATCCACGTCCGAAATTTCATATCCACAACATCCCTGGGGTATATATATATCAGGGGCGGATCGTGAATTTGTGGGGCCCTGGGCTAAATCTACTTATGGGCCTACCTAATTGTATTACTTAACTAAAAAAATACTCCGAATAAAAACAAGCAAACAAAAATTCCCCGTTCCTTTCGATAGACGCGCACTTGCAGAAAAAATCAACCCATGCAGTTGATTTCTTTTTTTTTATTAAATATTTTACGGCCCTGGAAATGTCCTTGCAGCCAAACAATTACATTGCATTGCATGGGTTGATTGCTCTCAGGGTTGCCAACCTTATTATATAGTTTTTAAAATTCTAGATATTTTTTTATAGAGCAAATATCGTTTCAGTGGGGAATGGGGGCCCTTTGTATCCTCGGGGCCCTGGGCTGCAACTCAAAAAGGCCTTACTTACTTCAACTTTATCTGTTGTGTGTTCTGTCACAACTAACTTATTGATGTTGTCCCAAGTTTCCATTGGAAGTATTTCCACATTATATTTAGTAAGCAGCAGGTCTTCGTCTTCATCCACTGTGTCATCCACAGGGGGCTTTGGTGCTTCCATACATGTTAACTTGGCTAATTCACCATTTTCATTTATTTCTGATACTTGGAAGTCTGAATACCTGTAAAACCAAATATCAATGCAATGTGATAACAATAATATAATATAATATCTCAGGACAATTCACACAGCGGCATCTAGTCCCAAGTTAATCTTACATAATGAATAGAATAGAATAGAATATCTTGTAATTTCAAGACCTAATCTGACTGAACAACCGAAACATATCTTCGAAGCAATCTACTTGGCATCTAAAATAGGCTGTGTTTGTATTTAATGGAAACAAAAACAAAGATGCAGGCAACAGGTGCTGTTTGTAAGGACTGGTTTGCTCTAATAACTAGGACTGATTTATTTCACTCATGTATTCTACATTTTAAACATCAAACTTAGAGACAAAATCAAACTCACTAATATAAGAGAAAAAACCAAATTGACAGATGCAGTCAAAACTATTAAGAAACTTAAATAGAAGTGGACAGGACATGCAATAAGAAATAAGAAAGAGAAATGTACCAAGGATGTCTTAGATTGGTATCCAAGAGAACAAAAAAGAAAATGAGGGTGACAGAAAAAGAGGTGGGAGGGTGATATAAGGGCAGTGGCGGGACTAACATGGAGAAGGAATGTGTTGGACAGAGGAGGCTGGAGTCTTTTGGAAAAGCGGTTCTTGGGACAAGATGATCATCAGCACAAAAGCTATAAATATAATAAAATAATCTACATGTTTACTCTATCAACTTTACAATTTGGTAGTTTCTATTCACACAAAATCTCAAAAATGTAATATTGAATAACATTTTTTTTAAAGCTACACTGTTTTTATCTGCATGTTTGTATGTAGAATAAAAAGGGCTTTTCATAAGTATTAACATGTTAAAGACTGTATGCCACCTGTGGGTCATTCCTGTTGAAATTTACATGTTGGAACCCACTTTAATTGAATTTAATTGAAATAAATCTAAGGGTTAAATAATGTCTACCTCAAAGTATTGTACAGTAAATATATATATATATATATGGCTATATATAAAAAAAATATATATAATTAGCAATAAATAAAATGCCAGTCCCTATGTGACAAGTAAGATTTTTCAATTTGGGTTAAGGATTAAGCAACATGTTAAGGATTGAGGAAAAAGTTGGAGTTGTGTTGTCATGTAAAAAGATTGATGGAAGATTATGGAAAATGGTAGCTACACCAATAAAACTGCGGGTCTTAAATTATGAATAAATGAATTAAAAGCAAACACATTTTTTTACTAAATCTATCTGAATACAGACGATTTATATTCTATTCTTAGTAAATTTGGGTAACAATGTAGATATTCACTCACCTAGCTTTAATAATTCCGTTAAAACCTTCATGATCACTAACATATTCAGTCACACCGATCTCCTTCTCTGTTAGCCTTTTACCTAGACTATCTCTCTTTGGCCTTTGTTGCCACTGTTGGATGTAGTTATTTCCACTAAAATTATTAGTGTGACGGCCGGGAAAACCTTGGTATCCTGGAAAACCACGAAAACCACCACGACGAATTCCCACTACTATTCTTTGCCCATGTTGGCGATCCCATCTACTATTGTTCCAATTAGAACCTCTGTCTGCATTCATTTTTCTTTAATCAACTAAAATATAGCCTAAAAATTAAGAACACTTCATATTCACACTTTAAAGACCAATAAACGAATTGATAATGTTGATTGTAATAAAGGAACTTACTTATTAACTTATATACCCACGTAATTTAGAATAGGATTTATTTTATTGCAGGTGTGTGCATAAAATCAATAGTAAACAGCAATAATTGCAGTACCTGTGTCGGCAAAATTATTATTACAATTTTGACAATCCTTGACATTGACAATTCATGACACAGACGGTTTAGTATGTATGAACGAAGAATTTTTGACCTATCACAATAGCTGTATGCTGAGATGAAATAAACAAAAAAAGTAATATTTATTTATTTAATTTTAATTCGGATTACATCCATATTGTGTTAGTAAAAACTTATAAAACTATGTTAGTAACTTATAATATACATATACGTAGATATATTTAATTCATATATCTGTGTCCACGTCCAGAAGCACTGGGTCCACAATGCAACGTTATCCAGTGCCTCTGGAGCGGACAATCAGGTATATTCGCAACAGTTTTTAGGATGCTGTTTGAGCTCCCCCGAATTCTAGACATCAGTGATGCAGCTCTTTTACGCATTATGGCTTCAAATCCATCTGAGATATTTATCTCATCGCGATGATTTTTTCTTGTTGAGTTTTCTTGAGAACTTAGTCATTTCCGACAGAAAATTTATTGTAAAAAAAAGTAACAATAGTGATTATTTGTAATACATAAGTTAAATGGTTCGCAATTATGACTGTAAAATGGATATAAGTATTAAATAAATAAATTTTTAAACCGTTTTAAATGACAATTGTTAAAACTTATTTTTATTATTTATATATATCATTAGTAAAAATAAGTAGACAAAATAACCGAACTGGAGAAAATTGGATGGGAGATTAGGAATTGAATTCAATTAATAAAATAGATGATAACATTGATAACGGAATGGTGCATCCTGTGTATACGCTGTGTTGCCAGCAAAGAAAAATTGAAAGATTATGGATGAAATGCATCCAGGGAAATTCAAAAGAGCAGCCGACGGATTCAGTATTCTAGCGGTTTAGCACACTGCTTTACTTCTGATAGCCGCAGGGTCCATTCCTCACACTACCGTGCGAAATGTGTTCATATTCATGAACACATTGTTTATATCGGTCGGGGTGTCTTCTTTGTAGGTATATTATGTATCTGCTTACATAAAAAAGTATCTACGTATTTATATCAGTTAACTAGTACTCCTAACACAAACTGCTTGCCGTGAGACTAGATGGTGCTGTGTTAATTGCCCAATGTTATTTATTTAGTTCACTATGTGGAGATCAACTTGGCGGACTATATTGCAATTAAAACTAATCATAGGTTTCCATAAATAAAAAACAACAATTCTTGTTTGTAAATGACATGTAATTTAAATACTGTAAACAAGAGATCTGATATTTATTCCTTTAAGTAGGTACATAAAATTACATTTAATGTTATATTATAAAATTAAAAAAATCTAACACTATCCGTAAACTTCTTGAATTTTATAGTTGTATCTCGTAAGTTATGGGCACACTAAACTGATGTACAATCTAGGATTAAATCAATTAGCTTATTACTCACATTTGTTTTTTTGGGATCACATTTTGATGTGAATGATATAGATTCTTTGCATACCATTCAATACAATAAATTTATAGATAAATATAAAATAATATGTTAAAGTTATTGCACCCAAATCATTACATAGTATAAAACAAAGTCGCCGTGGCTGTCTGTCCATCGTTATATATGCTTAAATCTTCAAAACTACACAAAGGGATTTTGAAGTGGTTTCTTTTAATAGATAAGAGTGATTCAAGAGGAAGGCATATATATATGATACATGTTTACCCGTGTGGGGCGAGTTACTTTATAAAATATAGCAGAAATTTATATAAAACAAGTTGTCAAGATCGTAAAACAAATCTCTCAAAATAATACAGGTTAAATCCATGACTGTACATCATAACACAGGGTAGGTAGACTTGCTTAATTGTTTACGTTGTTAAAAGCGCAGCTGTCGTTTTATTTCATCTACGTAAACGAATTACGTGTAATAGAATTAATGCAATTAAAATTCAATTAGCAAAGTTACACTTGTATGTTAACTTACTGCTTTTTTGTTTCACGAAACAATTATAATACCACAGTCAGTAACAATTTTAACAAAAGCATAGACTAAGCTTGAGCACTTTTTTTCTTAGGCTTGAGCTGTATGTTATTTATATTTATTATTATTATTATACGCGCTAAATATTCTTTCGCTCTTTTGTATATACAAATATTATTATGTATATATTACGTATAATTTTTTATTCTGCTCGTGATCCTTCATTCTTGTCCCTGACGGACGGTAGCTAACAATACATCTATGCAGGTCGCAGTGATACAGATCTAAGCACCTGACAATAAAAATCTACTTGCATATACTGCTATATACGTAACTTTAAAATAAACTACATTTCACAACCATAAACTGAATATTTTATAGCATAACGAAAGATGTATATTTGAAAAATGTTAAATATATATGTAACTAAATATTTTAAGTGCATAAATTCTGTCACACGTAGTATACAAATACTATTCTACAGTAATTAAATTTGATATTATAACGATAATAATAAAAATGAAGTTATTTATTTAGTAATAAAATACAATTTATAAAATATAGAAAATATAGTGCAGTACCTATGCTTTCTAAAATTGAAATACAACAGTTTATACATATATAGCAGTTCGAAATAGTTAATAAAATCGTTGTTTACAATACGAAAACATTACGTGTAAATTGTCAAAATAAAAAAAAATTATTGGTAATAGCCTGAAAAAAAAATAAAACCTTGCATGTACATGTATGTATGTGTGAAATAATGGCACTTTGTATAATCTCTGTAAAATTGGCATAGTAAGACTTGCACGGTACAAACAGTTCATAAGTATGATTGTTTGTATCGGTCTGTCTGATTTCTTTGTACATTATGTATGTATAAAAAAAATATTTGCGTCACTTGTTCAGTACAAACAACACTAGCTCTGGCTTAGAACTAGATGGCGCTGTGTGAATTGTTGCTTGTGGAAATTGTGGTAGAATATATACCATATTATAATATGAAGCTCCTGAGATCATGCCATGACTGTTTTTCAAAGTACGTCCAACTTTTACAAAAGCTACGCGAGGTTACAAGAAATAAAATAATATTTTTTTCTATTTTATCCATAGTATGGGACACATTGCCATGTGCGTTGTAGCATGGTGCGGGTGGCAGTTTCCATAACGTTTTCATTTCACTCTTAAAAGTTGCTGCCTCAGTTGAAAATTTACAAATACAACTTAGTATTTTAGCTGTACCACATGCCTAATACATTACATCATTAATAACTGTAGTAAGTTAAATTTAACCCAGCCAGAATGTTCTAGATTCTAGTGTACCAAAAACAATAATATTAATAATCTCAGGACAATTTACACAGCGCCATCTAGACCCGATATAGACTAGATAACTGATACATAGATACATTTTTTTTCGTACATACATAGAAAATACCCAGACCGATACAAACAATCATACTCAGGAATACAAATGTTTGTGCTGTGCGTGGATTCGAACCCGCGACCATCGGAAGTAAGGCGGTGTGCTAAACCACTAGATCACCGAGGTCGTTGAAACTAATAAAAGCAACTGTCACTCGCGCCATGCTACAGCGCACATGGTATAAATGGTCAATATTAAGATTAGAACAAACGTCGCGATATTTTTAACGGTACAAAGTTAACATTAATAACGGTATAAATTTAATATTAACCGACTTATTAGTACTCTAAAGAGGTAGTTGTTAATTATTAATTTTATACTCCATGCACTGTGGTTCACGCGACTGTGAGTTTACATTTTGACACTTATTACTATAAGCAAGAGGTATAATTTTAATTGAAATTCATACTATAAATTATTTTCATGAATTTAAAGAAAATCACACTGTGTATGGAGTATAAGATATGACGACGTACAAAATATCTCGCATAGTTTACAAAAATGGGTGGACAGAACATGAGAAATATATAAAAAAAATATTGTCGTGCTTCTAGAACATTCCATAACATACAATTACATAACGTTACAAAAAAGTTAGAAAAGGCAGTGTAATAAATGGCAACACTGTAATTATTAATTAATACATTTAACGTTGCAAATACATTAAACTATTTTCTTATCATATATTTTCTGCAACATAGCAAGCTGTTTATTTTTCTATTCACGCTTATTTTTCTTTTTTTAAACTCCATGAGTAGTTATAATACATTTATACAAGAAGAAGCATATAAACTCTTCGTTTAGCTGCCATTATGTGTCACAAAGGAACATACTGTATACAGTTTTATGAAATAACTCTCACAATAACAATGTCTTTCTAAAATCATATAAAAACTAAAATATTATACACTTCTAAATAGACAACTCTAAAAAGTAGCACGTAATAAATATACAAAGACATTTTAGAAAAATAAATGCAGTAAATTAACAAATTATACACTTATATGATCTAATTTCGGAATATGGACTAAACCAAAAGTGGTATGAAAACGCACATATTGCGACATGTGCTTCGTTTCTGAAAGAGTCATCATAAAGATCATCATCAGAGCTTGGAAGCCTAGTGTTGACTGTGCGGCGTCCAGATGATACCATAAAAAAATATAAACCCATTAAGTAATAAAAAGGACTTCGTCAAAATAATACCTATATCAAAAAAAAATATATTTTATATAACTGGAGTGGCACACATTCTTATTTAACTGCACCTGATGGTAGGTGGTAACCATCGCCTGTTAATGTAAAACAGCATTGTTTCTTTTTTTATAACACAGGGGACAAACGAGGATGCGGCTCACCTGATGGTAAGTGATTACCGCCGCTCATGAGCACCCGCAATACCAGGGGAATTGAATTAAAAAGGAATAAGCTCTTTTCTTGAAGGTTTCATTATCGTATCGGTTTGGAAGGTGATTCCAGGATGTGGTTGTGCGTGGCAAAAAGTTAGAAAACTCTACTGTAGAGAACCGCCATTCATCCAGATGAGCAGGATGGTATTTTAGTTTCTGGCGGGTGGTACGGTGGTACTCAGCAGCTGGTATTAATCCGAACAATTCCTCAGAACACTCCCCGTGATATAAGCGGTAGAAAATGCACGGAGATGCAATATCTCGCCGGCGTATCTCTCGGTTATTCTATATGTATTACTTCCAATGTGTTTCCACTCCAGAGGACAAAGATATAATGTCTATTTATACATTATTTCGATTTCGTCATCTCATAATGAAATCTGTATAAACAATTTTAAAAAATACAATAAAATGAACTAAAATATACATTACTAGGAACAAAATAACCAATATAAAGCTATATTATCATATAAAGAACCAAACCATTGCACAGAGATACTACAATATATGGGACTCTACTAAATAAACTGACTAAATAATTATTTGTAAAACCTAAACACTATACAGTTATGTCTACCAACAATTCGAGATTTAAAGTGTTTACCATTAAGTAAAAACTAAACTACATTTATATTTGAAAGTATTATTTTGGCGGCCGTTACGTTAGAACCTCATCTCAAAATATCTTGTCTTAGCTATGTTTAAAAAAAACATTTTTTATACTTTCGTGTTTAATATACATTATTTAAATTATTAACCGGGTCTTAACACGAATAATTCTATGGCAAATGAAGGTATTTACCTCTCTCGACGTTTCGACTAGGTTGCACTAGCCGTGGTCACGAGCTGACTGTAGATCAATCAACTGTCAATGTAGATAGGTGACAGCAGTTTTTTCATCTACCGTCACTAGATTGTTCAACGAAAGTTACCGACACAGCACTCACGGTATTCGTACACTTACCGACTGTTGATACTACTGAACTTTGCTTGAATTTATTTATTTACCCGTTTAACAATATAAACAATGTGTATTAAACAAGAAAGTTTAAAAAGTTTAGAAGTAGTGTTAAAACTGTTGTTCACTATTCACAATAATATGCACGGCAATATTATCGCGATATCCAATGCCGTAAATAATAAAAAAAAGTAAAAAAATAAAAAGAGATTACGAGGGTGGGAGTCGTTTCGCCTTTGTCGTTGTCGAAAAAAGTGTTCTGATTATCGCTGTCGTAATTGTCGATATTTTATATAGATTTGTTAACTAAATTCGTAAATATTATTAGTTTAAGTACGAAATAATAAGGGAACGCAAGAGTTGATACTGGAAAGCATCTATTGTCGGTTTTGGCGGTAAACAGGTAACCCGTTCAAAAGGTAAGTTCGGACAAGCCCGGAGTTCTGGGAAGCCTTGCTGAAACCGAACCGGCAATCCTCGCAGTACAAGGTGAGTGCCTTCCAAATTATCAATTTCTTGCTCAAATCCTATTGTCGTAAATACAGTCCACTAAAGACAGCTGCATTCAAAATTATACGTTAGCTGTTTTCATAACAACTGTAGAGACACCCAATATTGATTTCTATCTAGTTATACATATGAACTATTTTATGTTTATCACTTATATTTTTAGCAAAAATTAAGTAATCACTGTATTATATCATGATAAAAAATTGTATACAATTCTACTAGTATATTAGTACATATGTATCTTAAATGTTTTATCACTCTATTAATTGTGAGGTATATTCTGGCATTGTTTAAATAGACATTTTTTTAAATTTAAAAGCTAAGCTCTTGTCAGTGGAGCTCACGCCACCTTCCACGATCTTCCATTAGTCCTTTTAACTGTTGATACGACACGACTCCAACTTTTTCTTAACTTGCTTGATATAGCTGTGTCTTGGTCTTCACCTTCCTCTCTTTCCACCTATTTTTCCTTCAATAATGTTGTTAATTAGTTCGTCGTGTCGTATCAAGTGCCCCAACCATTCCCCTGCCTATTCTCAATAATATTTATGATCTTTCTCTTTTCTTTAACCCTTTTAAATACTTCTTTTCTTATTTTATCTTTCTAGCTAATTCTTTCCTACCTTCAAGATATTATTTATTTATCAAATTTTAATTAATTTATAAAAGTCATTATAAAGTTTCTGGTATACAATAAGATGTCATGAGATGAGTTTCTATATAACAGACCGTTACAATTTGAGTGTATTTTGGCAGTGTACGATATTTCCTAATTAAGAGAAATTACTTTTTGAGATCATATCAACAATACATTCATAAATTTTATATTGTTAATGAAACAATTCATTCGTTTAGAATTTTAAATGAGCAATAAAATTTAAACATTTCAAGTAATTATTAAAATTCGACAATTTGGAATTCATTTACGTCAAAATTGGCAACAATGAAAATATAGTATTATATAAACATCAATATTTTAGGCGCTGTAACACTAGCCTAAATATAGGATCACATATATCTCCCAAGATTTTTTTTCGGACTACTCTATTGCTGTTGACCGCAGCTGGCCTTTACAGCTGCACCAGACAATAGGAGGCGAGTGCAGATGGCACTCCAAACCCGCGGAAGGACTTATGGAGCGGCTGAAGGCCAACTCCCGCCTGACGGATACGACTTTAGTCTGAGGGCACCGCTAGGGGTTCAAACCTCGGCCGTCATAATTTCCATCACCGTTTGAATTGGACGGGGAATCGATCGGTGGGGATCTCCCAACCAAATGTAATAAAATCTTAAAGACCACACCAGATCATTCCAATGCTTATTAGTTATCGCAAAACTTCTTAGTGACATTAACACTGAGTAGTCGGGCATTTTCCCACCAAATGGCGACTTGGCATGTCTTTTTATTTCGCGCTAAAATTCGAGTTTTAGTAAAATATTTTATATATTACGAACTATTTGATATTATTATGTTTACAAGTTTCCTGCGCCTTACCACTTCCCGTAACAAAATGAGTAAACTTATCTGTTGAGTTTTGTTACAGAAAAGAGTACGACCAGTTTAATCGTGTCCCAAAAACAGAGTGATAAGTACGACAGTATTGTCTTGTATTGATAATATGTATGATCCTATATATTTGACAGTATAACATGCGCCTAATGCATCAATAGCTGCAAATTGCTAAGCGGCGAGGCCGCTAGGTTCAATTTCGCTTGAAACATATTATTAAATTACACAACCATTAAAATCTATGCCCATGCAGCCACACTATATTCGGGGTCCACTAAATCCAGACATTACTTTCGAGTAACATTCACTATATTAAATTTATAATAACTTGTCAAGTATTTAAATAGCTAATGAACCTATGTTTGTAGATTACTAAGTTCATTGTAGATACCCAAATCAATTTCTAACTAATGAGTTACTATGTATTTATTAACATTATATCAAATAACAATACATTTACTAGTAATATCAGGCTTGTCCGCCAATTATTTCACTAAGAGTATTATCTGGATCTATATACCCTCATTTTCACGTCCATACTTAAAGAATTGGTCATATTTATGAGATTGTTCATTTAACTTGAAGTTGACAATTCAAATATTCATATATACTATAGCAAATTGCAAAGAACATCTTATAGAAATTGATTAAACTGTATAAAATTATAATCAGAAACAAATTTGACTAGTAAAGTAATGATTGCATGTCAAATTCAAATATTTATACACTCTATATAAACAGCATTTAAGCAGTACACAATGATCAATTAAATTCAACTGCCATACAAAAATCATACATAAAAGCTTTACAATTATGAGCTTAGTGTGTTGAGAGCACTTGTCTTATCACATATTTTGTTATCAGTCGAATGCAGAACTAATTTCTGCATTGGGTCTATAATTATTTTAGAATTGTCTTCATTCCTCATTTCTTGGTCTTTGCACACTTCACCTGTCGTATCTTTGATTGTACTGTCACTTACCATGCCATCAGATTCAACAGTTTTATTGTCGAAAACTGGAAAGAAATCATAATGCGACTTACCATTGCTCAATTCGTTATTGGACTTTTCGTTTTTTACTTTCTGCTTTTTCGTTTCATTTTCGCTGCTAATAGACGATATGTTACGTTTGGAAAACTCGTCCCAACCCTCTGTAGTTTTCCCATGTACAGGATTCCAATCTTTCCGGAAGGAGCTTGATGGTTTTGTCGTTTCATTCGATGAGAATTTCTGCTGTATATCATTTATTTGATTGTGATTCTCTCTGGTTGACACTATTTGACCATAGACCGGAGTACAATATGTGGTGTCATTATTGCTAGCGCTCCTGTTGTCTCTACTTGGATGGTTTTGATTTAATTGGCAATTGTTCATGCCTGAATCGAATTCTGATTTTTGACCAGCATTGAGGAGTATCTGTTTAGAAGATTTCACGATATTCTTCTTTTCGTTGGCAGGTCTGTTTGGGGAACAGTTGTCATTTCTAATTTTGTCATCATCATCATCACCACCAATACCGTCAATATCATACACCTGGAATTGGATAAAACATTTATTTAGACTTCATACAAATACTTTTTCTTTCATTAAAATAGAGTGTAATTTTAACACACAATTCTATCAATCTAATTCTAGTTATATTCAGATAGAATAGAAAATAATTTATTCAAATAAACTTCATTTAAACACTTTTGCATAGTCAACAATTTTTTTTTAAATCTACCGCTTATTTGGAAAACTGTCATCACAAGAAGAATAAGCAAGAAACTTGTGTGTTGCTCTTTTAAACAATCCTAATAATGATAAACTAGCGAGCCTGTATTCATATGACATTTTCATTCGAAAATCTAATTGGAATATACATAATATTTTTTTTTAATAATTGGAATAAAGAATTAATTTGGAATAGAATCTTTATTGAAATTAACTTTTTAATAGTCATGTAATATTATTTTTACTAGCAGCACCCGTGATTTGGTCCGTGCGGAATTTAACTTTATTTTTCTGAAATAATAGTAGCCTAAGTTATTACTTATTACATCAGCTACCTCCCAAAAAAAGGTCCCGTTAAAACCAGTCCAGCCATTTCAGAGAAGCCGGGACAAACAGACCGACAGACAGACAAAAATTTTAAAAAGTGGTTTTTTAGGTGTGTAAAAAAGGCTTATTTCAATATTACAAACAGACACTACAATTTTATTTATATGTATAGATGTATAGATTCTACTGCTCATTCTGAAAGCAGACATCTCAAGAAGGTGTGTGTTGCTCTCCTGATCTAAATAAATGTTATTTAATTAATCATAATATTTAATTAATAAGATTGGTTTAATTGGTAAAAATTTAATACACATCATACAACACACAAAATCTTTAATAAGTAATGCACTAAGATTTTATGTGAATAAAAACTATCAAATAAAATAAATAAAAAGGATATAAAAATAACATAAGTAATTCTATTAAAATGTTACCAAATTGAGAAGTATATCAAAACCAAATACAATAAAATTGAATCAAATTTTAATAGAGAAAGAAAAATAATGTAAGAAATATTTACAGTAAACAAAATTAAAAAAATAACCTTATACATTACATCTTGGCTCATTCCCTTTTCCCGTTCCCGTTTGTTCTGCACAGCCAGCCACACATCTTTCAGCTCACCGGCCAGGTCTCGATCTTTAAGGATGACAGGGTTTCGACTGAGTGATAAACCTGGGTTCATTGCTTCAACAAAGTCACAGAGGAGGCTGACCAGGGCTTCTCTATCCTAGAATTAAATCATAAAAGTCTATATTAGGTTAACATCTATATATGGTTTTACAATTGGTTTCTTCATATATGTGCAAGCAGGTATATTTACTTATGCATGAAAAACATATACAAAATCCAGTTTATTGATTAAAGCTTTATCTATATAAATTCCCTTAGTGTTGAAAATTAAAAAAGTTTAATAGTGTCAATTTAATAGTGTCAATTTGGGGAGTCCGTTTCTACACAGGGGAGCAGTTGTGAGGGGAAGGGAGCTGTTCTAATTCTCAAATCCCCACTTTGTTGGGAGCCATAGTTGTTGTAATAGTGAGAAAATCTTTAATTTGCCTTATTTGCTGTTAAGAATTTGTTATTACCTCTATTTCACTGTTGGTTTTCAAATAAAAAAAATTAAACTAAATTATTAATTTTAATGAAAGTTTATGTCTAAATACACAGATACACAAGTGATTCAAAAGTTTCTTGCTCATTCTTCTTATGATGAGTCTGCATTCCGAGTGAGTGGTAGTATAAAAACACTTGACTATTTATACGTGCATATATTAAGTTTATTTAAATAAAGATTATTTCTATGTACAGAATTGATAATAAAAAATATAAACAATGAAATTGATACTCACTGTGCGATTATCAGCGTTTTTTCCATTTGCCTTCAAGATGTCAGGATTTACCATAACCGCAAACACTAGTAGTGGAGGTTTGTTGCTATTCAGTCCACAGCCTTGAGGGATCTAATCACAGAATAACTTTATATGAATACAATGAATTTTATAAGCAATGATGAATAAAACTATTATGTACTTATTAATAATAATCTTCCACATTACTTATTAAACTTTAATATTGTTATGGTTAGTAAATAAATTATGAAAAATATGAAATCTTAAATTATAATTATGAGAGACAAATAGAATCCTTACCTGCATACCACCATATAACGGTATCGGATCTGAATATTGCTTGGGATTGGCTATTTTCTGCCATCCGAGCACATTTATGAATAATTTCTCTGATGTATCCTTTACTGTGTCCTGTATACACATATGAGGTTGCGGCGGATTTTTAAACTGGCGGAAGGCTCGTGAACCACGAACATACTGAATTGGAACGGATCTCTCCTGAGAATTTAGGTTTTCCATAGCAGTATTAATAAATGTAGAACGCGTATACTATTACTTTACGGTTGTATCGCTAAACATTCACAATAAAAACGAAAAATATCCATTGACATCTCGAAAGGTCCGACGTCCCAAGTTTATTGAACTCCGTGTAACCGCATCGAATCAACGATTACTTGTTACGAACTGATATATAACATTCAATACAATTTCTATTTTAAGTTTATGTTTACATTAATCAAGTATTACAAATATAGCCAAAGCTCAAAAATGTAAGTTAAAGAAAGAAATAAAACGCTATTTGGTACCGTCGAACGACGAAAGAGAAAGACTGTTTACTTTTTTATTATTTTTTTTTATCTTGGACTGAGCACAGAGTCAGCTGTCACTGTCATAGCTTTGTTCACGGACTTTCAAAAACTTCATATGTATGGTACTGATATTTATGCAACTGTATACATAATTGCAATTTAATTTTGATGAATAATTGTTAAAAATTAATTTTTGGCATGTATATATTTTGAAAGGTTTTGTCCGCTCATAACAACTCATGTAATGCTTCATTTAAAACGAAAAATTTATTCACTTTGAGTACAGATAATTCCTTTTTCTATTTCCTTTAATTTGAATAGTTTTTTTTCAAATCGGTCTTTGGTTCAGTCAATTCTTTTTCTTTTCTTTTTGTAATGGTTTGGGAAAATAGCAGTTTATTGATCATGAGGTTGATTGTCAACATGACATTGATAGTTCAATAACGTTAGAACTGTCATTGATCTGCTTTAGTCTAGTACCATTCTGTCAAAACAGAAATCATTTGTTTCATTTACAGTTATTTTTAATTTTTATGAAAATAGCAATAAATATTTTTTCCATAATTGAAATATAAGTTACTTATTATTTTAATGGATTTGACTTAAGAATCACGGATTTTTGTTTTAATATCTAGATATATCAAGAATAAGATGGTTAGCTGTGCAATCTCTAATTGTAAAAACAGTTCTGCGAAAATATCGAAAAATAAGGACGGAATCACATTCCATAGGTAAATATGGATAATATTTAATAGTATTAACTTAAACTTAGTCATGTCACTTAACTCTATTTTCGTATAATTTGAAAGGTGTTAAAAAATTACTGTTAGAAAAAATTGTAAATAGTGAATGAAATAATAGAAAACTTTAAAGTATCCTATATATATATATAAATCGTATATGGTCTATGTTATGAAGGTTGTATGAAAAAAATCTCAAAATGATATTAAAAACCATATAAACATAATTCAGAGATATAAACATCATCAGATTCAAAATAAAAAGTAATTTATTCATATACGATATTTTAGCCGCTTTTGAATGTATTTTTTTATACTAAAATTTCCTACCGTATAGTTCAGTATACAGATTCAATTGAGCAGAACTGGTAATAAACTCAATTAAGTTTCTTATTTTTTTAAAGTTTATTTGCAATGTTTATTTATATAGATGTTATGTCTAATGTTAAATGAAAATCTCGTGTATGAATAACTAAGCTTAACTTTATTCTGCGAAGCTTCACCTAGAATTTTATAAAAAAAAATTGTATGAGGTGGACTCAAATTCAAAGCCTTTATTAATTGACACAAAGTTATACAATCTAACATAGTTTTTAATTAAAAGTTTAAAATATTATAGAAATATTCTTCTTTTCTTCTTTCAGCATATATTTGTCCACTGCTGGACGTATGCCTCTTGCATAATCTTCCACTTCAGTCCTGCTGTCTTCCTGATATCAGACCATCTGGCAATCTTCCAGAAGTCTCTGAGTCAACATGTCTTTAGATGCCAATGATGTGGACTCAGATGGTTGTAATTATTTCAGATTCCCGAGAGACAAAGAGAGACGCCAACAATGGGAAGTGGCAGTCAACAGAGAGCAGGAATGGTCATCTACCACATCTAGTGCAGTTTGTTCGGAACATTTTGAAGCTAACGATTTCTACTTGACTGAGAGTGGTTTGCGTAGACTCACAGTAGATGCTGTGCCTTCTATAAATATTTCTGTAAGTAGACAGCATTTAATAACAGTTTATTTTCATTTATAATAATAGTATAGGATTATGGAACAAGTTGGAGGTGTCTTTTACCCATATAAAGGGACCAAATATAAAGAAACCAAATTTAAAATTGTAATTGTATTGAAAATACAGCTTAAATAAATATATTATCGGCATCACATGATAACTTGATATCCATGGTGCTGTTAATGTGGCAGTGACAGGCTATGGTGACTACATACCATAGGGGGGAAAGGGGATTGTTAGTAATGTGGATTGATGATCATATTGTGAGCAATGTACCATGTCAAGTTGGCCTTCACTTGGTTCCCCCTGGAAATCATCGTGATAAATTTCTGGTCAATTTATCATGATGGGCTAACAAGACCTTGTTCTCATTTTATCATTCTCTACTGCTAGTCCGCGAGCGTAAACCAGTTGAGTTCTCCATTTCATCGTCATTTAACTGACTAAGTGACCTGATCTCATGCTCATTTCTCATCCTTCACTGCTGGCCCGCGAGCATAAACCATTAGCGCAGGTGAGTTCACCATTCCATTATCATCCATAATACTACAATACCATAAGCTTCCTTAACATTCCAGTTACATAAAAAAATTCATACATCATTCTAAATTGATCAATTTAATATTTTCAGCCCTGCCAGGAACCTGAACCCACAATATCAAAACTACAACCTGTAGACATCACACCAACAGACACAGAGGAAATCATAGAATTAAAATACAAAGTGCGAAGATTAGAAATGATAGCCGAAAGTCGGAAGCGCCGGTTGAACCTCATGTGGCAACGGAAAAGGAGGCTCCGGAAGAAAGTTGAACGCATGAAATGTTTGATCAAACATTTGATCAAGAATAAAAGAGTCATGGAAAAAAGCTGAGGAGACTACGGCCAATAGAATACCTTTTAAAATACTATATGTCATTGAAATCTTTAAGAAACGTATGTGTAAGTGCTTATTCCTTCTTAAAAGGCCGGCAACGCACTTGCAATTCCTCTGGTCTTCTATTATTCTTGTGGTCTTCCGCAAGCTCTTATGGGCTGCTGGGCTCGTGCCTCGAGTATGTGCTCATTACCCGGGCGTACTGCTGAGGTCCCCTGGTGTTGCAGCTGCTCATGAGCGGCGGTAATCACTTACCATCAGGTGAGCCGCAAGCTCATTTGACCATAGGGGTCATAAAAAAGTCAGGAAAAAGAGGATCATTTGAAATAACTTGTCAGATATTAATTTACATGATATTTTGAATAGATTAACGTAAAAGTTAATTGTTTTAAAGTATTGTAAAGCTGAATAAAAATAATTTAATATTTGAAGTAAGTATCACAGGTATCCAGAGCAATAAGACTGTTTAAAAAGTAAGTACGATTAGTGCGTCATGCAGTGTCAACTCGTACGGAATACAGAGAAATATTTATAAACTTACAAAATACAATTTAATTTTAATTAATATAATTTATTTAGTATTTCCTTAAATGCCACTTCTCCCCTTGTAAAATGAGAATCACACACAAAAACGATGAGCTGTTACAACAAGGAATTGTAACGCATAAAAAAATCGTGTTGACTGATGATTACTATTAGAATAACTGTTACTATTAGAATAATTTAATATATAAAGATTTATTAAATTATTCTAATATATATATTTAATAATATTTATTCTGTATCTAAAATATAACCATCTTATCTTCTCCCATCGCGCAAGACCATGTTACACACACAATTTACGCGCTCTATTAATAAGGATTGTATCTAATAAAAAAAAGTGTTTGCTGTCATTTTATTTATTAAATTATTCAAATATACATTTTGAAAATGTACTTCGTTTTTTTTGTGACTGTAGAAAGAATTCTGAATGATTATTTGTGCTGATCTCTGAGCAATATATGAGGGGGGGGATTAGTAATGTGGAATGATACTCCATTAGTAAAAGTGTACTTAGAGTGTGAGGTATGTCCTCGTCTCATATCGACCACCAATAATCAACATCTGAGAGAAGCTTTGAGATTGATATTATCAGTTGGTTTTTTCGTTGGAAACCATCATTTTAAATTCCTGGTGAATTTGCCACAATTGGCATAAATACTGTTTACAATTTATATAAATTATAAATTTTTATAAATTAAAATTTATATTTAGGTATATATATAACTGACCTGACCTGATACACATCTTATCATCCTCCATTGGTGTTCCGCCAGCGTATACCACTGGTGCCCCGCCAGCGTAAACCGATAGCGCAGGCGGGTGCACAATTCCAATATCATCCTTTAAAAAAAAACTATCATATAGGGGGAAGGAGATTGTCAGTAATGTGGACTCATGACCTTATTACTAACAATGTACCATGTCAGGACCTCCACGCGGTTCCCCTGGAAACCATCGTGATAAATTCCTGGTGATTTTGCCACGATGGGCTAACTGACCTGACCTCATGATCATCTTATCATCCTCCACTGGTGCCCCGCCAACGTAAACCGTTAGTGCAGGCGGGCGCACCATTACATTATCATCTATAAAAAAAATATCATATTTATGAATATAAATTATTGTACCGTGCGAGGAATCGAACCCACACCATCACTAAGGTGGTGTGCTAAACCACATCACCGAAGCCTATTGATGTTCATGTATATGTATAGGTGAAGATTACCATTTTCCATTAGAAGGGCAGTTAGCTTACGTCTAAACGCTAATGATCATTTCACCCATAACAGTTCTATCACGCTGCAATTAATATGTAACGGTTGTGTTCTCTGATAACATATCTCTTATCTGCATTGGAAACGGCTACAGTTATGCCGGTTTCCAATAACTTCCATAGAAGCCTGCGCGCGCGCAGTGGGGGCGAAATCGGATTCTCCCACCAATCGCGCGCCAGTACCTTCGCTGTCGCTCGTGAGTGGCGCTCGTGTTGTGTTCGAAATTCAAATTTGAATCCGATTCGAAAACGTTCCGTTCCATTTAATAAATCTTTAACTGCCTTACATCTATTCGACTTTAAGAAGTGTTTGTTTGTTGTTCCTGTGTATGTGTTTAGTGAACGTGCAAGTATCCAAAACAATGTTGATATGTATGCACACGTATGTCATTGAATGAAACGCGTTAGCCAGTTGCAATCGGCGAAAATGTGACTGTTAGGTTGCGATACACTGGTGTTTTATTTGTACCAAGATGGCTATGTACTTTTGATTTATAATGTTTACAATGCGGGTCTTTAATAGGATTACGTTTGTGTGTGTATGCGCGTTGTTATTGGCCGTGCCTGTGAAGTGTGAGGATTCGACGGAGATTCAGGAGTCGGATGGAATTGTGGTGAATGATGACCAAAGTGACGCAAAGAAGGATGTTAAAAGCGGGGTTCTGCCAGGTAAGTTTTTTATTAGTATATATGGAGTGTTGCATTCGCTTGCATTAACAGTATATGCTGGTAGGACATTAATTAATAATAGGATGAAATCAGCTCAGTTAGCCCATCGGGGTAAAGTAACTAGGAATAAATCACGATGCTTTCCAAGAGAGACCGCGTGGAGGTCGACCTAACATGTTAGATTTCCAGCAATGTAGCCTACTAGTCTAGTCCCCATTACTAACAATCCCTTCCCCCTACTGACGGTATTTATGTATAATAAAGGTAGAGTCCTATTCGGAAATCTTTAAATAGGTAAATAATAAACTTACCATTACTAGACCGAAAGGTCAGCATTTATGAGCAAAGTTTACGACTGGTACACAGAATATATTTTAGCACAAATATTTTTATATCTATCTTTAATTTGTATTAAACATTTGTGGCGCAGTGGCATTCTAAATCAAATCAAAATATATTTATTCATGTAGGTCTTTTACAGACTTATTATATACACTTCTTCACCTTGTTTGCTATTCGGATTGAATGAAAGAAAACCTTGTTATCTTGCGATTATATCATTCATACATAGATAATATCTTTTCATCCTTCTTCCGTCCTTCGCTGTTACCTTTTTTGTAAGATTTTCCACAAAACGCAGGATCACGTTATCAATATGGGCATCAAATATATACATATACTAGCTTTTTCCCGCGGCTTCGCTCGTGTTAATTTATCCTCTTAGGGTTGGAATTAAAATCCTTTCTTAGGGGATGCCTACATCATAGTAGCTTTATGCATGCAAAGTCTCAGCCCGATCGGTTTGAAATTGACAAAGTTTCATACAAACTTTCATCCCCTATTTTATCCCCTTGGGGGTAGAATTAATCAAAATCCTTTCTTAGCGGATGCCTACGTCATAACATCTACCTGCATGCCAAATTTCAGCCCGATCCGTCCAGTGGTTTGGGCTGTGCGTTGATAGATCAATACGTCAGTCACCTTTGAGTTATATATATATATATATATTTAGATTTCGATATGTATAACTAGAGGAGTGAAGTATGAAAGGAATATTTGAATCGAAGTGGCAGAGGTAACTCTACTCCAGTAACTCGAATTAATTTTATTTGTTATCCATAACTTTAGACGAATACAGAAATACGAAATCAAAAATTTATTCTGGACATTTTAGGCAATTTTTGTGTATTAATATTTTTTCCCTACCAATTCATACATTTCATACATTCATAGCATACAGATTCAGTCGAGAAGAACTGGCACGAAACTCAACTCATTTCTTTTTTTTTATATATAAATAGACACATAAAGATTTTTGGGCACATTTGTAATCACGAAATCGAGTAATAAAACTACCAATCTCCTTAATCTTTATTTGTATCATATTCCTTATTAATTCTATATAAATTGTAAACGTATGTACTAACAAAACATAACCCAACTTACGTCAGCAGTCGGTTAACATTAAACAATACGCAAATCGAACGTGTATTAAAGAACAAACAAAAGACGTAGCAAAAACTCAGCCTCCACACTTAGTGGGCTACATAACACGGTAATGTAGCAGATTGGGTTATTCATATGTCAGATCGTCTGCCAATGCCATTATTTATTTGTTATCAAAGTATAGATATTTAGGAGGGTCTTACATTATCAATAAAAATAGTCATTACATTTTTTTAATCTACCGCTCATTCGGAAAGCTGTCTCATCACAAGAAGAACGAGCAAGAAACTTGCGTGTTGCTCTTTTGAATAACTTTATTATTACTTTACATTTTTAAGTTCAAGTGTATGAATACAAACCACCAATTAGCACTAATTCAATTAAATACTCAAATAGAAAAAATATTGAATATATAACCAACTGGTTAAACAATTAATCATTTATTCTCCCATCATTTTTGGTTTGGGATTTTTGTACACAATATGTGATAATGACGATCCCATCGTACCTATACTAAATAACAAATCTTAATTTTAATAATATATATAATATTATAAATGCGTAAGTTTGTAAGTATGGATGTTTGTTACTCTTTCACGTAAAAACTACTGACCGGATTTTAATGAAACTACAGTAATATATATACATCAGAATAACACATAGGCTATAAATAAAAAAGATATAATGTAAATTGAGTAATGCAGACCATTTTGCGCGGGTCACCTAGTATTTGATAATGTAATACCGCCTTTACAAGTTATATGGTGTCGTATGAAATAACATCAATGGGTGTTTTTGTTTTGACATTATGAATATCAATTTCAATATCATATGAATGATTTATGAGTTCAATACATATATATATATATATGTATATTTTGTTTATATAAATATGATAATTGGTTTGTAAATAATCATATTGTAGTATACGTATATAACTACCTAAAAATCTACAAAAAAAATATTGCGAAGTGAAATAACAGTCGTTTCAAATCTATATATATATAACTCAAAGGTGACTGACATAGTGATCTATCAACGCACAGCCCAAACCACTGGACGGATCGAGCTGAAATTTGGCATGCAGGTAGATGTTATGACGTAGGTATCCGCTAAGAAAGGATTTTGATTAATTCTACCCCCAAGGGGATAAAATAGGGGATGAAAGTTTGTATGAAACTTTGTCAATTTTAAACCGATCGGGCTTAACTTTGCATAGAGCTACTATGACGTAGGCATTCCCTAAGAAAGGATTTTCATAAATTCCATCCCTAAGCGGATAAATTAACGCGAGCGAAGCCGCCGGTAAAAGCTAGTTATCAATAAATGTGTTGTGTTTTAAAATAATAAGAATTTAAGCATTGTTACATAATATTTTATTACAATTGTTGTTAAATCCATTTTCATAACAATATTACAAGTTTGCCAATTGAAATGTTATGTAAAATATACATTGTTTGTTATCAGATAAAGTATTTTTATATTTGTAATATAGAGGCTATGCATAGATTAGACGGCCTCGGTGGTATAGTGGTTTAGCACCGCCTTAGTTCCGATGGTCGTGGATTCGATTCCGCACTTGGCACAAACAAATTTGTATTCATGAGTATGATTGGGTGTTTTTTAAATATAATATTTATGTATTTACAAAAAAATATATCTATGTTTTTGTATCAGTTACCCATAATACAAGCTTTAGCTAGCTTAACTTGGGTAGATATAAGCAGAGCTTGTGTTATGGGTAGACAACTTAGAAATAAATAGCTTTTTTTTTGTAAATACATACATAATATACATAGTGAACACCCAGACCGATACAAACAATCATACTCATGAATACATATTGGGGATGTGAGGAATCGAAGCCGCGACTATCGGAAGTAAAGCGGTGTGCTAAACTGCTTCAAACCTCATATATACATATTATATACGTTATCCTTACTAATATTATAAATGCGAAATTAACTCTGTCTGTCTGTCTGTCTCGCTGTCACGCCAAAACTGCTGCACCGATTTAAATAAAATTTGGTATACAGATAGTCTAGACCCTGAGAAAGGCCATAGGCTACTTTTTAATGCGAAGAAAGGGTTGTAACGGGTTGTAAGGGGAGATGAAACGTTCTATCGACATTATTAAAGCTAAAAGCTTGAAACGTATTTTCTAAGCTTTTGACTATCAATATGACATTCAAGGTTTGTACGAATTTTACCCTTAAGCGGGTAAAATAAAATAGGGGTTGAAATGTTAATTCCTCATCATCTGCTTCTTCCTTATCCCATTTATTTGTGGTCGTCGTAATATGTTTTTCGCTTCCATTCGTCCCTGTTCGCAGTCATCGCGTTATTTACTTACCATATCATCTTTCACACAGTCCATCCATCTTTTTTTCGGCCTTCCTCTGCCCTTATAACCGTCCACATTCATATGTAACACCTTTCTTAAAATATTATCCTCGTTCCTACGCATTACATGTCCATACCATGATAGACGATTACTCTGTTAATTGTTAATGTTAATTCCTCATTCGTCCTCAATTCCTTGCGAACGAAGTCGCGGGCACAGCTAGTAACTTATTACAAAGCATGTGAAATGTTCATTGCAATCAATCACGTTTTTTTATATATACAAAAACAATATTGTCGTATTGTGTACCTACTACATAAACATATTCATATTCGTAAGGCCTTTTACGTCTCTAAGGGCCAACTGGTTGCTTCATTAAATCATTTGTAACGTCTACGCAACTATAACTTACAACTCAAATAAACAATTCGTGGAAACAGCTTCGCCTATGTGTGATTAAGTAATTTATTCAATGAATTTCTAGAAATAGTTACTTAATGATTGATTACAAGATTCTAATACGCAAGTTCTAAGCTCATTATCTGCATATTTAAAAGAAAGCCATGGAGTCACTGTGCTCCTTAGCATTCCATGGTCCAACGTGTGATAGAGAGGGAAACCTCTACTATTTCCTGGGATTTGTCAATGGATTCACCGTGCGGGTGCCGGGTCCATCGCGTGACTGAGAATAAAACTCCGAGCATTCTCCGGGATTTATAACCCGGGTGTAAGTTTTATAGAACGTTTGCATCACTTAATTAACCACATTTTGTTATATTACAATAGAACCGATAACATTTATGATCTTCAAGACGGGCTTCATAGCAGCCAATGGATTCACCGTGCGGGTGCCGGGTCCATCGCGTGATTGAGAATAAAACTCCGAGCATTCTCCGGGATTTATAACCCGGGTGTAAGTTTTATAGAACGTTTGCATCACTTAATTAACCACATTTTGTTATATTACAATAGAACCAATAATATTTATGATCTTCGAGACGTGCTTCATAGCATCCAATGGATTCACCGTGCGGGTGCCGGGTCCATCGCGTGACTGAGAATAAAACTCCGAGCATTCTCCGGGATTTATAACCCTGGTGTAAGTTTTATGGAACGTTTGCATCATTGGATTAACCGCATTTTGTTATATTACAATAGAACCGATAACATTTATGATCTTCAAGACGGGCTTCATAGCAGCCAATGGATT